TCATGTGTAGTTGGAAGAGCAGGGATCATTGAGTCACGGACTTTTCAGAGATTGAGAAAGCTATTTTTCCTCCCAGACGGACGAGCTTTTCACAAACTGTAAGAAAAACCATTTTTCCATTAAAGACGGACACATTTCTTACTGAAAAAAACCCCGGCGCGAAAGTGTTAAAAGACATTCAGTTCTACGTACTACCACTAAATACAGTAAACATTACAGCTAAATATGTGTGTATACACGTTGGAAATTTATAACAACATTTGACAACTAGCATCAAATACTTATAGTTTTACAGGGTGTTTATGAATTGAGATTTGAGACGGGCGATGTTGTATCACCTGTTTGTGGTACATTTTGTCCAAGCCGATCATCTGATCTTGTACCAGCCCCTCCATGTTCCCCGCCCAATTTACCGTAGTCTGGACTTAATGTTGTACCAATTAAAACCGTCGGATTAGTGGAGGCAGTGGCAGATGATGTTACTACGACGGTTGTATCATGTGTAGTTGGAAGAGCAGGCTGTTCTCTCACACCTCTTGATGGCACACCAGCAGCACTATTGTAATTAAATCCGGATGAATCACCTTCCACTAGTTGAGGATTATACAAAACATTTGACATATTTCATAATCGATTGTTAAGTGAATTTACGTATAAGAGGGTTATTTGTAGAAATCGAATACTTGCAGGCAGTAAAACTGACAACTTTTTTTACTTTTATTTGAGAATATGACTGTTTTTTCTTCTATTTCAACTTTATTCTGACATCCGATGAAAAAATGGAAAAAAATAAAAAAATGTTGGGAGAAGAAAACTTTACGTAAAATATTCACCACACACATATCTGTCTGCTTATTGTTACGTGAATTCATACAATCCTTTTTTTTCTTCTATTATTTGAAAAAATCAAACGTTCTTGTTGTTCTGTTCACTATCACTATCAAATCTATCTAGGATCTTATGAGGTGAAAAGTGGCTACTTTTATTTGTAGACACGTTAGAAAAAGAATTTCACACAATTTCATACTACATGAACAAACTCTTTACTGAGAAACGTTTGCATGATTCAGGCATTATTGCCATGATTGTCGTCATCAAACCATGAATTCTTATTATAATGTGATACCTTATTGGAATACATCGTTGGATAGAGCTCAAGAAATTATATAGAAAAAAGTCAATAATTAACAAGAAATAATCTTACAAACAAAGTTGGTTAGCTACATGCATGCTGCTAATAAAGTAACTCACCTAACAGAAATTAGAGACTGTTCCAAATATGATGATCCAATTATTTGCGAACTTCATAGTTACTTTTGCTTCAATGTCGTGGTTATCTTGATTTGATGATGAGAAAGAAAAGAAAAAAGTTTTTCCATCAAAAGAAAATTTTGTTGATCTCAGTCTAAGTCAATACTCGAAGGAGCTTACACTCAATCTAGGAGGTACTTGGCTGAGGGTGAATGCACTAGGTATGGCAGCAAAATTTATGTGATAAGAATGAGTCATCACTCTTGCAAGATCATATAACATCTTGTGACAAGAAAGTATATGTTCTTGCGATAAGAGCCAAATATAAGTCAATATAATTCTCTCTGACAAGATATTGCAAGATCATACAATCTCTTGTCACACGATCTTATCGCCTCTTATGAGCCGATCTTTTGAGATTTTATGACAAGGAGTTACAAGATTCCGCATGATCTTACAGGATATTATAAGACCGCGCAGTAAGATCTTGTCACAAGATTTTGTAAGAAAATGACAGATCTTACATGATCTTGTAAGATGAATTTTACCGGAGTACATCATCGACCATTTCTGACGTTTTTACGCCAATAGGCGCATCATCTGCACAATTTCATGTTTGGATTGCAAACATAAATCAAAAGTAAAACAAGTCATGAATTTTTTGGTTTTATCTTTATAAACACAGAATGAGAATGTACATAAACTATTAATTTACAACCACGCTCTGAATCTATTAAACAACTTATTTGCAACGTAGAAAAATAGGCCTTGCAGGTGTTTGGTATGCAAATTATGTACAAGAATGTTCGCTTGAATAAAAAACGGTCTGATCTTTTCTCAGTGTATATGAATAAAGTCAACTACGTAGTAACTGGCACCAGCACTTGCCACTCGGTCAAACACTTGTTTCGCACGATCAATTAATGATGGGCGTCGTTCTATTCGAGAAATATTGTGAGGATTGGTTGAATACTCAAATTGTTTAACAAATTCAAATGAACTTTTGCCTAATATTGTTTTTTTACTACGATGGTTTGGAACATGAACCGATTTAAATGTAATTCCATAGTTCAATGAACAAATTTCAGTCGTCAATTTATCTAAGTTATATTTAAAATAATCAATTTCCAGTTCGTTTATTTTATTCTCATTGGCTTCAAACCTTTTTAATAGTTGACGTAATTCTTGTATGCGATCATAGCGATTATGTTTAAAGTCCTTTAAATTAGTTGACAAATCCGATATTAAAGCATAAATTTCAGATAATTTTTTCTTATACTGTTTTGCTATTAATTGCAACATATCATTTTTCCATGAATTAGATGCTGCCTCGATATTATTTTTCGTAAGTGGTAATTCCATTTCACTCCTCCATACATCTAATTTTGCTTTTGTTTCAACTTCAATTTTATCAGTATTCAGAAGATCTAATTTTTCGTTTAATCTGTTTAATTCGTTTGAACAACCATTTAGAAATTCAGAGGGAAGATGAACGTATTCTGTTACGATATCAGTCATTGTTTTAACTCTATATATTATTTTATGAAACGTATACCAGTCAGCGAATTTCTAACGATTATTTTGTAAGAAAATAATGTGTAATAATAAAAACACTTTATTATTTCCTGTTTTTTTTACTTCTCTATACAGTGCTTGAAAAAACCAATTGATACTTCTTCTTAACTTTACCTGTCGAATAATGGAAAGTCACAAACGAAGTTATTTCTGTTATGTTCTCCAGATTACTAGTCCATTGTTTTTTCGTTGCTATAGTCTCCATGTAAAGAAACAGTTACTCACTGATAAAAAGAAGAAAGAATGGAAGTGGAAAATAGGGTATGCTGTGGTCGACATCGGACTTCAAGCTTAGTGGACTGG